CCTCAGGCCCAATACATCTGGTCTAGTGTCTAAGAAGTGTGAGTTGGACCTAGTTGCACTTTCGCCCAAGGGAGGTGACCAAGTGTGTGAAGAAAGAAGGAATCTGATCAGGGTTAGTGATATGGAAGATTCAAGCTCGAATTTAGGGATCACAAATGTGGAGAAGAGCAATAACAATTAGAAGAAGAAAGTGTCTAACTCTTCAAAAGAAGAGTACAACATTGTGAAGCCTACGATGAGTGCGAAGAATAGGGTCACAATCCCATCGAAGTCTATCATAGCCAAAGTGCAGTCAATAGAAGTCCAAAGAAGTCTAAAGGAAGCTATGTAGTAGTTGCAAAGTGAAGACCAACGAGTACACAATTTTATCAAAGAAAGAACCAGTGGGGGATGGGTACAACTAACAATGCATCATGGAGAAAGTAGGTAAGGCATGCAATTCACTCCCTCAGTAACAATTTGAGATTGTGACATTAAAAATTGCAATAGAGTATATTTGCTTAAATAAGAGGTGGAAGAGGCGAAGAAATTGTGGGAGATCGAAAAAGCAGTATAAGTGACCTATAACTGTGATGAAGATCAGATTATTAAGAAATTGGTGAATCTAGAAGAGAGAAATCAGTAGGACAGGTTGAAGCTAATCAACCAAACTCAGAAGGGAAATCAAGTGGGTGAATAATGAAGATATTGTCATTCAACATTAGAGGAATGGGTGGAAGGGTCAAGTGGAGCCACGTAAGGAGAATGATAATCAAGGAGGATATTCAACTCTTTGTAGACCCCTAACATTGTCCGGGTCGGAAATAAAGCTTGATGTCTTCTTCTCTTTCTACTCCTTTTTCGTTTAATTTCTTTATAAATTAATCACATTTTATTTTTTCTTTCTTATTCAACATTCAAATTAAAGTGAAAGACTCAAACACTACTCTCTTTAGAAAGATAAAATTGTGCCAAATGCCAACTATTATTGTACATAAATATCTTGATAAAGCTGTATAATTTAATATTGTATGACACAATTTAGAAGGAAACACAAGTGAGTGTCTCACGCAACTCCAAATTGTAATGTTTTTTTTTTAAAATAAATAAATAAAAATGTATACTTATAATAATAATAATATAAAATAAAATTAAAAAAAAAAAAGTTCATTTACTGGCGTACGAAGTGCATAATCTGGAAGCTTCTGCACTCTGAAGATCTCCACGGGCTAGCCTTCAAGTGCCTCCAATCTTAATGAAGTTGTGATTGATCACACATTCTTGAGCCCACCCCTACTGTAGTGAAATCACGCAAGGCGAAAAATTATAATAATTACTTGAAGGCAATATAAAAAGAGACCATTACGAAGAAAGAGAGGACTTCTCTTTGCAATCCTCGTCCATGCGGATTGGCTTCCTATCTAGCATTCAGTGGTTTCTTCGCACAAATAGAGCTGGTGCGATATTGGTACAATTTATTTTTCTTTTTCGTGCTGATTGGTAGAACTTTTACCCCTATATTCTTTATTTTATGAATGCATGATTGGTAGAAAATCAGCTCTGGCTGTACGGGGATTCTCTTCCATGCACGGTTCCTGTTATTTCTCCTTAATATTATCAATTAATACCTGATCCATATAACTTGTTGTCACGTTTTATTCATTTTTACTTTATCATTTACTATCTTGGTGTTTTTTTTATTGGCTCCACAACGTGAATGATATACATATTATTTTGCCTTTCAAATATGCGTTATTATAATAATCATTTGACATCCATTATGTTATTCCATGTGCTTGAAATTGTGTTTATATATCTTTTGCAAATTTTTCCTTTTATTGTCGTTACATTGCGGTTGGGATTTTACTAAGTATAATATACCTTTATCGTATATGGCTTGATTAGCATGGCCTGTATAGCTAAAGCTATTAAATGGAATTAGTAAAATAGAACAAAACTGAAGTAAACCGAGTCGAATAAAATAGGAACAAGTGATAACGTGTAGATTTTCTCGTTTAAACATTCTCATATTAATTTAATAATATCAATATTAATAATACTAAATAAATAAGAAAAATATGTCATCTAAGCAATAAATTTTATGATAGAGTTAACTAGATGAGACATCTTCTAGACTCCAATATATTTTAGATGCAAGTTGTGACCGCTTGATAGTCTTAAGACTTAAAAAAAAATATGTTTTAGTTAATGTTAATAATTTCTCACAAATTACAAATGTTAATTATTAAAAGTTTTGTAATATAATTAAATTAAGGGTTATTCTAAGATAAAGGATTATCTGATCGTGACGTTCTTTTAATCCTAAAGTTTAAAAGTGCAAGTTATGACGACTTTTTATTTTAAACTCTTCTCTAAATTAATAATTCATAAAACACTACTGTTGCAACAAAATTTACTATAAAAAGGAGGGACTAAGATTCGTATGCAATAATGGCAATAAGTATAATCAAAACTAAATAATTCAATTGACTTTGGTGTACACCTCTGTCAATTTCGGGATGTATGAGCTGAGACAGCTCAAAAGTCCCAAATTAAATTAAAGGAGTAAATTTAAATAAAAAACTATTAAAACATTTTCTTTCAAGAACTACGTGACTTTGATTCTTCATTACATATGGAGATACGTAGGAGCAAGAAATTATTCCTATCGAGCCCAAAAATAAAAATAACAATATTATCTCAATAATAATAATAATAAAAAACTTTAATAGTCAATGCACTTGTTGAATAAAATATATGTGATTATAATCGTTAATTTCCAGTAATTTGGGGTGAGATAAATATTTTAAAAGTTATAATAGTTTGCTTGATTAATTAGAGGTAACCGTCTTTACGATGAACGTCGTAAGGTTTTAATACCTTCCTTACACGTAATTGACTCCCGAACTCAAAATCTGATTTCGTAGACCATTTTTCTTTAATGGTTTTTTTTTCCAATGTTTTTTCCGTAGAAATAAACATTGGTGGCGACTCCATAAAATTTTATTTCGCCATCCCGTGGTGACCGAGGTTGCTACAAATGGCGACTTCACTGGAGAAATTCGAGAGTCAAGCCTTTATATTTGATTAAGCATAATATTAATAACTTTAAATTTATTTATCTCATCTTTAGATTTTCTTTTGTTCATCTTTCTATATATATTTTATTTTGTTAATATTTTATGTTTGTTTATTGTATAAATATGTTTTACATGTATTTGAACCATAGGGTAGATGCCTTTATTCTTTATTTGGAAAGATGGGTGGTTCAGAAATTGTTCCCTTCAAGCACTTTATTTATACATTCCCATGCATTTTATGAGTGGGGTCCTATACCCGGACCTGAGCGCAACCTAGGATAAAAATGAGGTTGAGTAGTGGTAACCTTCTAGATGTACATCTTGTTTGGTTATCATGAAGGCCTCACCTAGAGTTTGATCCTATCTCGAGGATATTACCGCTTCTGATAGTTTACCTATTGTTGTGGTTAATATTTCGAGGGAGGCTCCTTGACAGGCTTTGGCTGATGTAATACAGTGGAAAAAAGCTTGGAAGGAGGCTAAGATAACAGAAAGAGGCATGAAGAAACAATTGGAAAATTTGAACGAACAATTAAAGAGAGTTGTAGTTGAATATGAAAATAGGGTCCATGGTGAAAGACAGTTAAATGAAGACTTGAAGAGATACATAGAGGAATTGGAAATACAAATAGGGAAACTGAACATGACCATCATTGGCCGCGATGAAGAACAAAAAGTATGGGCCAATAATTTTGTGAAACGGGCTCTACAAATAAAAGAAATGCTTAACAAGGCCTCACGTCTACTGAGAAAAGCTGAGGGGATGACAAATCCACTTTCCACACCAATAGAAATATTTGAATTCCTTGAGTATTGTAATGACATGATAACCCAGATGAAAAATATGGCTAGATGTGATAACTAATGATATGTATTTTATTTCAAGGGGCATGTTTTGTCGTAATTTGTTTTGAATAGAAGGAAAAATATGTAGTACCTTGATCCTTCAAATGCCATGTACTTTGTTTTGATTATCAATGAAAGTATGGTTGGTGTTTTACTTTATGGTTTTCAAACTAAAATATTTAGAACGTGACGTTCTAAAAAGAAAGTCAAAACATTATGAGTTATCCATTGATCCCATGTTTCCTGAAACTTAGTACTTTGGACGTGACATTCTTAGAGAAAGCGATTCTTCGACACCCTTATAGCACTCGTGCCAAGACAAGACTTATGGCAAAACAAGAGCAAGATCACGAAGAATTAAGGGAAGAGATGAATCAACTAAAAGAACAGATGAACAAAATCTTGGAGACTTTATAGTCATTAGAGGAGCGGAGAGGCACAAATGGGAATTCATCTGAGAATAATCAAGTCACGCCTGCCCATCCCCCTGGGTTCGCACCGCTTTAACAACCTAACCCTAATACACAAGTTCAATTCTCCTCATATGGCCCACCTCTTGGATACTCTTTAATAACTAATACTTTCGGGAATGCCACTACTTCCAACATTCAAACACAGTCCCCCAATTCTCAAGTGCAATTCCCTCCATATGGCTTATCCCCAGGCTACACACCACCTATAGCTACCACCACTTCTAGAAATAATGTCCATGCCTCAAACCCAAATCCCCAAAACAAACTTCTTGAAACCACCATGCAACCAACTAATGACCTGATCCTTGTCCATACACCACCCACAACCAACAATCTCGAAAGCAATCCCTCCAACTCTACCTTAAACATTCAAAACCAAACACAACCGCAAGACCAAAACCCCCAAATCGGTGGCACACAAGTCACCCACCCCCATCAAACCAACATACCTCATCCCCCTATAAACACATCCTTAATTCATACAAACCTTTTAGACCACCCTTCAAACAATCAAGAGACCAACCCAACTTCAACTGTTATCATACACCCTCGCCAACACAGAGATACCCAATCAAACGAGAAGTTGCAATGTTTAGAAGAAAGGTTAAGAGCAATCGAGGGAATGGACTATTATGCTTTTGATGCTATAGATTTATGTCTAGTCCCAGATGTAGTGATTCCCCCTAAGTTTAAGGTGCCCGAATTTGATAAATATAACGAAAATTCATGTCCGAGGAACCATCTCACCATGTATTGCAAGAAAATGGCCGCATGTGCTCACAACGACAAACTACTAATCCATTTCTTCCAAGAAAGCCTTATAGGACCTGCACTAGGTTGGTACATGAACCTAGAACAAGGTCGAATTCGCACCTGGAAGGATTTGGCTGAAGCTTTCATCAAGAAATATAAGTACAACATGGACATGGCACCAGATCGAACACAGTTACAGAATATGGTGAAAAAGGATAATGAAACTTTTAAGGAATATGCCCAACGTTGGAGAGGAATAGCAGCACAAGTACAACCCCCTTTGTCTGAGAAAGAAATGGTTGCAATGTTCATTGATACACTCCAATCTCCCTTCTATGACAGGATGATTGGAAATGTATCATCGAACTTTTCAGACCTAGTTGTCATTGGAGAAAGAGTTGAAGTAGGAATAAGGAGTGGGAAGATTGCTCAAGTTTCAACTGAAACAATTACAAGGAAACCAGTGACGAACATGGATAAGAAAAAGGGAGGTGAAACAAATGCAGTTATGCCCAACTACAACCCTGCAATGATACAAACCCCATTCCCAACAACCTTTAACCCTACCCCTATCGTATCAAACTACCGACCCCAATTCATGTACAACCCCCAAATAGCATCATTTTCGCATCCACCATACCAACCTCCTCACCAACCTAAAATAGCCTACAACCCCCCAATACCACAAACCCCAACAATGCCAACACATCAGACAAACCCATCACAAATTCCACAACACAATATGAGTAATAGTCAAAAAAGGAATAATCAAGAGAGGAACCTTGTACCCATCCCTATGACCTATACTGAACTTTTGCAACATTTAGTTCGTAATTCTTTGGTCACCTCAAAACCATTAAAACCTATTCAACCGCCATATCCAAAATCATTTGACCCAAAGGCTAAATGTGATTATCATGCAGGGGTCGTAGGGCATTTTACTGAAAAGGGTTGGGCATTAAAGTATAAAGTACAAGATTTGATAGATGAAGGATTATTGAGTTTTAAAGAAGAAAATATGAATGTTAGCACTAATCCACTCCCAGGACATGGGAATTCGTCAGTAAATTCCCTTGAAAACGAACCTTATCAACTAGTGAAGGAGGTGGTGCGAGTCAAAACCCCAATGAAAATCGTCTTTGATCAGTTATGTGAGTTCAAGGTGATTGATGGAGAAGTCCACAAAGCAGAGGTATGTGGCTTTCATAAAGGAGCCAAACACTTAATAGAAGATTGTAATGAATTTAAGCAGATTTTGAAAAAGTTAATGGATGCAAACTTAGTCCAAATAACCCAAATACAAAAGGAAGAGAATGTGTTAATGGCCCAATCAGAGGAAAGACATGAGATGAAATCACCAAAGCCGGTAGTGATTGATGGAATCATACTTGGGAATGCAAGAGGTGACACACTCAAAGATCCAAGAAGAGTTGGCAAGACATGAAGGTTTGGGCCAGCCAGGGCCCAATGGGCCAGATGGGCCTGGGAAGGCCCAAGTTGAACTTTTCATGGGCCATATTTTTGTTATAGCTATTTTCATATGTTTTGTATACATCATGTTAGTATAGGTATCATATATTTTGGTCTTGTATTTTGGACCACATAGAGTAGCATTTTAGGTTTTAGGCTTGTTGGGCCTAGTTTTGGGCTTCATGGGCCTTAGGGCTTTTGGTACCCAATATTGGGCTCATTTTCATTCTTGTAAATTTTCCTTTCCATTGTAATTGTTGGACCATTATAATTAGGCCATTAGATTAGGATTAAAGGAGGATTACTAGTTTAGTTAAATTAGGGTAAACTAGGTTTAATTTAGCATGCATTTAAGTTGCATTTTGAGTCACATGGATGGGGGGGGGGGAAGGAAGAATCATTTGTCAAAAATGAAGAGCTAACCTAGAGACTTCAGTAAATCTTCGAAAACAAGGGCAAATTCATAGCACTAGAGGGCTAGCTGTATAAAAATGGAGTTGTCAAGACATCTAATATTGTCAAAAGGCTAGAGGATGGGCATTTCAAAATTATAGAGATGGGAATTAGCACCATAATCCTAAAAAATACATATTTTGTCATCTATTGCCGCCTATGTTGATCACAAGACCCATTTTCGTCTATAATACCATTTTTGTCTCCTCATGTAATCTACAATACCTTATTCGAAGTAATGTTATACCTCAACCCTTCCTGATCATTGCGTTGTTTCGTTATTTTGTATACTGAAAATGGAACATGCATAAACATTTAAAAACATTGCAGTTATCTTAAAATCACAGGAAATAAAAGTGGATTTTTAATCAGCCCTAACAAGGATAAAATCCAATTACTGATCAAAGCATAAATGATATGGCCCTAATTCACGACACTGTTAGCATACTTTCAAGAGATATAGAACAATTTAACAGACTTGCTCTGATTTTTCCTTGAGTCTCAAGACGCAAATAACTACGAGGGTGTCAAAAAAATGAAAAAACAAACATATAAGGAAAAGTTTAGACAAACATCTCACATAACTCTTATATTGTAAATAATCATTTTCTAACTATTAGTATTGCATCACATATATTGGGTTATGAAACCCATTGCATTGGATATATTGGGTTATGACACCCATTGCATTTTACATTCTGGGTTACTACACCCATCACATTTTACATTATGGGTTGCTATACCCATCACATTTTACATTATGAGTTATGACACTCATCACACTTTACATCTCGGGTTACTACACCCATTGCATTTTACATTCTGGGTTGCTACACTCATAACATTTTACAATGAGTTACAACACTCATCACATTTCAAATTTTAGGGTTCCAACACTCGCTTGTATTTTACATTTTGGGTGAATATACCCACTGCATGTTTCATTTTGAGTTATGAATACTTGTTCACAATTAGTGCCTTCATGCACACGATTTTTATGGAATAGATCTTCTGCATTTGGATTTTGCATTAATGTGTCCGTTAGGTTCTCATGTCAATTGTTTTTCGTTTGTGTTTCATCTAAACTTCTTTCTCGACTTCTATAGTAATTATCTTCCTCTTCATGCTAAAGTTTAAAGTACACCACGTTTCTTTTTGTTGGGTATTGGGCTCCTTTCCTATGTGTGGAAAAGGCCCAAAATTGAGAAGCTCAATTTTGTCTCACTTAAAAACCAAGTGGAGAGGGGTCTCTTATGGTGAATAAGAGAGAGATAAAATTACACAGCCGTCAGGGAGAGAAAGAAGAGAGAAAGAGAGCAAAAATTTGGTTCCCACACACAGAGCAGTTTCAGTAAAATTGTGATCCCCACTTCGTTTACCGTTGGATCGGGCTGGAAATTTGACAGCAGGTTCTTAACATGGTGATCTTTGTTTTGACTGTTGGGATTGTAGATTGGAGGTCTGTGGTTAGAGAAATCAATTTCGTACAGTTGCTCAAATTTAAGGTTTCTTCTTCTTTATTCTTCAGTTGGGAAGCCTTGTTGCTTTAATATATCAGTTGGTTGTAAGCATTTGTTTATGCATTTGATTAGACTCTCTTGCACCCTAATTTGATCATAGTGGAGCTTGATTGAATGGCTTGTGCCCGTGGGTTTTTACTTCTCACATTGAGAGGGTTTTCCCACGTTAAAAATATTTGTGTCTCTTTGTGATTATTTTCTGCCATTTATTTGTTTTGTTGCTCCTTGTTGGTTTTTGCAAGTTGGGGGAATTATTTCCACTACGTACTTTGGTACTCTTGATTATTTTGTTGTTGTTCCCCCTATCACAGTGGTATCAGAGCCTGGTTTGGGGCTATATTTACTTGCTTAAATGATGGAGGCAAATACAAACCTACTCTTTGGACAAAATTGGAGTTTATATCTTTAGTTACCTTTTAATACGATAATATGAAAATAAAATTTTCATATTTTCTATTAAATTTAAGTAAAGAGGGGCAACTGTAAACACCCAATTTTGTCTTCTTCTCTTTCTACTCCTTTTTCGTTTAATTTCTTTATAAATTAATCACATTTTATTTTTTCTTTCTTATTCAACATTCAAATTAAAGTGAAAGACTCAAACACTACTCTCTTTAGAAAGATAAAATTGTGCCAAATGCCAACTATTATTGTACATAAATATCTTGATAAAGCTGTATAATTTAATATTGTATGACACAATTTAGAAGGAAACACAAGTGAGTGTCTCACGCAACTCCAAATTGTAATGTTTTTTTTTTAAAATAAATAAATAAAAATGTATACTTATAATAATAATAATATAAAATAAAATTAAAAAAAAAATCGGGCCGGTGGCGACACTCTTATGTGTCCAAGAGACACAAACAAATAATAAATCACAGCAAAGTTCTGTAAGTTGCTTTGGTGGGAAGGATATTTTGATTGGATGATGGTACCTATAGTCAATTCAAGTGGTGGTTTATTGTGTATATGGAACAAAAAAAAATTGAAATAAACTCTCACTTTGAAGGGACATGCTTTCTCGATTTGGAAGGATAGTGGAATGATAATTGTTATAGTCAATTGTATATGCACCATGTGATAGTTCTCAAAAGAGGCATTTATGAAGAAAATTGATAGAAGAAAAAAAAATGATAGAAGCAATATAAATTTGTGGTATTTGGCAGGGGATTTCAATAGTGTGAGAAATGCAAGGGAAATAGTAAGTTTAAATGGGAGCACCCATGACACAACAAACACAAGGATGTTCAATAAATTCATATCTAAGATGGAATCAAAGGACCTTCCTCTAATTGGTAGGGATTTCACGTGGTACAAGCCCAATGGGACAACAAAAAGCAAGATTGATAGGTTCATGGTCTTTAGAGATTGGTTCATTTGGTGGCCTAGAAGTTCATAATTTGTGTTGAATAGAAACGTATCTGATCACCGCCCAATTCAGGTGCAAAACTCAAACACAGATTGGTGACCTAAACCTTTTTGATCTCTAGATCATTGGTTTGAGGATAAGGAATTTGAGACGTTTTTTGAAGAAACCTAGAAGGGACATTTTTTCCAAGGATAGGGTGTTTACGTCTTTAAAGAAAAGCTAAAATTACTTAAATATAAATTAACAAAGTGGAACTCAACAAAGTTTGGAAGTCATATTACAAATTAGAATAGGATTGTAGAAGGAATGAATAAATTAGATAAAAATGAGGAGATTACGAGGTTGAATGATGTAGAATTACAAGAAAGAAGAGACTTGCAACAAGAGTTCTAGAATATGGCTATACGAGGTGAATCAATTTTATCCCAAAAGTCTAAAGTAAGGTGGCTAAAGGAAGGGGATCTCAATACAAAATTCCTCCACTTTATGGTAAATTGGAGAAGAAAGAAAAATGCACTTGGAGGATTATTCATTGATGGTTCTTAGATTAAAGAGCCAGAAGAGGTCAAAAGTTATGTGAAAAAGTTTTTTTAAGATAGATTTTAAGAACAAATAGATGATAGACATAAACTGGACAAAGTGCAGTTCAAAAAAATTTCTTATTCACAAAATCATAAGCTTATCTTTGAGTTTGAAGAAGAGGAGATCAAGCAAGTTGTGTGGGATTGTGGCAGCTCCAAGAGCCCTAGGTCAAATGGTTTTAACTTCAAATTCTTAAAGGCGTTTTGGGATATTATGAAAGGGGACATATTTCATTTTGTGAAGGAATTCCACACAAATGGCAAGCTTCCCCGAGGTACCAATACCACCTTTATCGCTCATTCCTAAGAAGGAGGATCCACAACACTTAGGAAACTATAGAACCATTTCATTGGTGGGCTGTATGTATAAGATATTGTCCAAGATTCTAGCTAATAGATTGAAAAGAGTGCTACCAAGTGTCATAGATGAGAGACAAAGTGCATTCCTAAAAGGTAAGAGCCTCTTACATAGTGTGTTGGTAGTTAATGAAGCTATTGATGAAACAAAGAGGAACAAAAAAACTGACATTTTTTTCAAGGTAGACTATGAAAAGACGTATGACTTGGTTAGTTGGAATTACCTCCTATATATGCTTCAATGTATTGGATTTAGAAATAAATGGATAGATTGGATTGGAGAATGCTTGAAAATAGCTCAGCTATCAATGCTTGTTAAGAGAAGCCCAACCAAAGAATTTTGTCTTAAGAGGGGTCTAAGACAAGGAGATCCACTAGCACCCTTCCTTTTCAATGTAGTTGTTGAGGGGTTGACAAGTATGATGAGGGAGGCAGAGAAAAAGAATTTATTTAAAGGTTTGAAGGTGGGTAATGACCAAGTTGACATTAGCATAGTTTAATACGCAGATGATAGTATGTTTTGGGGCGAGGCTAGTCTTGAGAATGTAGTAGTTGTGATCAAAAGTATTTTACGATGTTTTGAGGTTATATCATGGTTAAAAGTTAACTTCTTCAAGAGATATTTTGGAGCGATTGGAGTGGATAGAAATTTAGTGGAGTTTTGCACATCATTTGAATTAGAAGTTACTACAAGTACCTTTTACTTATCTAGGCTTCCCTATTGGAGCAAATTAATCCAAGAAGTGTAGAGATGTGGAAGCCTATCTTACAAAAAATCAGGAATAAGCTATCTTCATGGAAGAGTAAAAACTTTCTATGGTTGGAAGAGTCTGTTTAATCAACTCAGTTCTAGGATTTTTACCCCTTTTCTACTTATCCTTTTTTAAAATGCCAAAACTAGTGAGTAACCAAATAAAGTCAATGCAAAGGATATTCTTAAGGGGGTGTAAAGAAAACCAACAAAAGATATCTTGGATTAGTTGGGACAAGGTGACTAGACCAAAAGGATAAGGTGGTTTGGGGGTCAAAAATATCACTATGTTCAACATTGCCCTACTAGAAAAATGAAGATGGAACCTCTTCCATCAACCAAACACCGTATGGTGGAAGGTGTTATCTTCAAGGTATGGAGGAGGATGCAATCTATGCTCACAAAATGCCTCTACTAAAGACTCTATTTGGTGGCGAGACTTACTAAAGGTTTGTGGTAATGAGATTGAGGATACATGGCTTGAAAAATTGGTGACATGGAAGGTTGAGGAAGGTACACGAGCTAGATTTTGGCTGAATAATTGGGTAGGAATAGAATGTTTAGAAGTAACATATCCTAGGCTTTTCCTCAATTTAGAATAGAAACAAGATGTAATTGTTGATATGGGGTGTTGGTCAGAAGGTAGTTGGGTTTGGCAATTCAAATGACGCAGGAATTAGTTTAAGCAGGAGTTTGCTCAAGGATATAATCTCTGCTACAAGTTATGGGGAATGTCACAATTCATAAAGACCACTCGAATTCATGGGTATGGAAGCCTGAACCTTCTAGAATATTCTCAGTCAGATCAGCATAGAAGGCCATTCATATAGAAAGTCATGGGATTGATGAGCCTGGAAAGTTTAAACAAATCTAGAACATTTTGGTTCCCCCCTAAAGTTCATACATTTGTGTGGAGGCTGATGATTAGGGGACTTCCTTATCGAAAATCTGCTAAAAAGAAATGTCATCATGAGAGCACAACATCTGACTTGTGCCTTTTATAAGGTAGAGTTTGAATCCAGGTCACATATTTTTTGCACTTGCCCAATGTTAGATAAAGTTTGGAAACAATGGGTTAGTTGGCTAAATTGTCCCTCACCCCTATCTCAGTTCTTGGATCAACACTTTAATTTTTTTGGGACCACTCCAGTGCATATCAGAGGAGGAAAACTGGTGATTAATATGGAGCGCTGCTATGTGGACTATATGAAGACATAGAAACCACTGTGTGTTTTAAGGTGGATGCTTCGGCCAAGACAAGCTGATGAAGGACATCCTGTTCTCCTCTTGGTCATGGCTGTCTACATTACAGAAGTCATTCTAATATTCCTTTGCACAATGGTGTACCAATTTAGGACAATGCATCTGTACAAGGGAATAAGCTTGACATACAAGTTGCACTCTTGTAGATTGTTTTTAAATGGAAATTTGGTGGCTCCTTTCAAATGGGATCAAACATAAAGAAGTTGAAAATAGGAAGAGGGAAGTGGAGGATAGAGCTGGAATTCAACATAAAATTTAGCTATCAATTATGTAGAAGAATGGGGAAGGCTGGAGAACATCACAAATCTACCTTTGGATTCAAGGTACAGATCGGAAATCTCATAAGGAAGGGGATGCTTTGATATAGGCACTACAAGGTGGCTAGTTTTAGTGGTTTATAAGTGTTCAAAATCTGCAGAAAGTTAGCAACATTTGCAGAAAACAATTCATATTACCCAAGTGTGAAATTTTGTTGATTGATCGGAGGAACTAAGTGTAAAGGGGAAATTATATTATGTAAATCTTGGTTGACTTGTAACTTATGCTTTCAACCATAAATTACCATCTAGCCCGGATTAAGTGGATTGACAACCATATTTGTTTATCTTACTTCCTTCTAAATGGGTTTAAGTTACCCCTTGTATCTTTTAATATAATGATATTTGCTGTTAAAAAAGAAAAATTTATTGTTAGTCGCAGTATTCGTTTCGTGCCCCAAAGTAAGCTTCAATTGATTTCAAAAATCAATCCGAAATAGCTTTTAAATATAAATTAAGACTTAGACTACAAGAAAATTACTATATAGTGACACACACCTTATAGTGATACACACCCTATAGTGACACATACCCTATAGTGACACTATACATGTTACTAAAAATTACTTTTACCCACACAATAATTACAATATATGTTGGTTTATTAAAAATGTAGGTATAGGCTATAGTGACACACAAAATATGTTGTTAAATCTTATTCAAAATCAACATTAAAATTGTGTGCAACTATATGTCAAATAAATATATACTTACATATATTGTACCTATAGTGACACTTTTTGTATGTCACTATATCTAATATTTCTTGTAGTGTTAAAATTATTTACAAATACCGGTCATTTTCTTTTATACTTTTATCGTTAGGTTTAATTTAGTATCAGTAATTTTTAATTATTTCTAGATCTTGATCTTTGCTAAATAATTTTTTAATCCTTATTATTACGACATGACAGATAAATTAAAAATATTAATAAGATAATTAAGGTGATAAAAATATTTTAAATTAAGATAACTATATTATTTTATGTGCATATTTTAAATAATATATTTTTTATTTTATGCAAATAAGATAATTGCATATAATTTACTTTTATAATTATTTTTATTTTTTAAAATATTATCAACAATATTTTTAATTATTTTTAATATTATTCTTACTTTTTAATTCACTAAAATAACTTTAATATTATACTTTTAAAAAGTTATATAATTTACTTAGATGCATATGGTTTATTTTAATATTATTGTTTGACTAATTTTATTTCAATATATTATTAGTCAATTGGAGACAAAATCACTACTTATGAGCTATTAAAAATAAATAAATTATAAATTATATTACAACTAGTCAAATTATATTAATGAATTGAAATGTAAAATTAAAAATAAAATGATATATTAAAAGTACATTATAAGTGTCTAAGTAATTTTTTTAAAATACAATATTATAAGTAAATTAACAAATTAAAAATAAGTATATTAAAAGAAATAAAAAAGTTAAAATAAATTATAACACAAATTCTATGTAATTTCCTTTTATATTTAAAATAATAAATATTTCACTTAATTAAATTATACACTTACTACAAAAAAAAATAACTATACACTTAGGAATAATTTAATTATATTAATTTAAAATATTATTTATTATCTGAATTTTTTAATTAGTATTTTGATTTTTTTTTTATTTTTTAACACTAAACTAATTAGAATCAATGATAAAAAACTTGAAAAGAACTCGAATAAAATGTTAAAGATTTTCTAGAGTCAAGAAAAAAAATGCAAGACTAAAATAAGACAACTGTATTTGTAGACTTCTAAAACATATTTAAGTCCATAAATAATATTTTTTAAAATAATTATTACATTAAAATGTAAAAAAAAAAAATAGAGGGAGAAAATCCGAAAACAGCATTAATATTAAAATGAATAAACGTAAGAAATAACAATCGTGAAATATATTACACAACAAAACCTCAAAAAGAATACACATAAGAAAGGATATACTAAAATCCTTCTTATTACTCCCTCTACAATAAATAACACCAATAAATATAAATAACGTAAAAATATTTCATTCTATATAGTATATACAAACACCAATCAAACTCATAATAACCATCACTCGGTAAACATGTATAGAAATGGATTAGTTTTGTAAACAAAACCACAACAAGACCAATGGACTCAATGTTTGAAGATGGCAAGCATGGACAACACAACCGCAGCTCCAATCACGGTGGCGGAGCTCGAAGCCGCCCCGGCGGCTCCGGCATCGGGTGCCGGTGTCGGCGAGCTTTGAGCAGATACGGTGGCGGAGAAGAGAGCAAGGAGGAGGAGGATGGCAAGTGACATGAAGGTGCTCTTTGTTGATGCCATGGCAAAGAGAAGGAAGGTGTAGGAGGAGAAGGGAAAGAAAGGAAGTTATAGGGAGAGAATTGAATAGTGGAAGATGGAGGAGCACTTGATGAAGGATGAGGGTGAGAGGGAGTATTTATAGGAGGAAAATGTGAAGGATCATAGAGTGTATATTAATGTAATAAGAAATATTTAATAATATATAGTTTGCACATTTTCTCTTTGATAAATTAAGATATTTTTTAATCGAATCTCTTAAGGTAGTGAGATCTATTTAAAGGATTAATTTTTTCTAACAAATATTTTTCAATATATTGAATAAAATCAAATTTTTAACTATTTTGAACACACATTCTCTTGTTGATGGAGAAAATTACAAAAGTTGGCGAGTCTAGGTTTTATTTAATGAAATTCTCTCATAATTTTAGTTTTTAATAAATTTTAATTAATAATAAAAAATTTGTTATGTGTAAGAATATATTAGATAATATGTTGTTTGTGATTCTCGTTACACTAATTAATATACTTAAGCACTTCTCTTAGTGTAATTAGGGTAGAGGAAAAAAATAATTATATATAATCATTTTTATTATCTTTTATTTTGAAATAATTGACATTCAAGAAATTTTCTATTTGAAAATATTTTATTTTACAATATCATCAGAATATTAATATTTTGTTAAAATTTGAAGGTTAAATATTTGTTTAGTTTAGAATAATGTTCATTTTATCATTTCCTTTTAACTATTCATTTATGAAAATATTCATATCTAAATTGTCATTTTAATTTGTTCCATGCAAACTATTTTTATCTATAAAAAATGTTAATCCATGTAAATTAAACATTTCCTTTAAATTATTCATTTAGAGTATCCATCATTAAATATAAATTAAAATAACTTAATGTTTGTCTCTTAATAATTTACAACATTTACCAAAATACACATATTACATTTACATCATCATGTATTCATGTTAGAAAATGAAGAATAGAATAGGAAGCATGTTGTTGTACTTTAATCAAAGTTTTATTATAAAAAAAAGAAATAGAAGGGGACGTTGGGAGCAAGGGAAAACGTGGACAGGTGAAGCATGAGGAAGAAGTAATGGTTGGTGATTTGTCTCTACGTTTGTTTGCTGTATTTCTCATTATTGGTGTTTTATTAAACAACCTAGTTTGTTGGACTACTTATCGTACAAGTAACACACCACCGCACTTGTTGATTCATCTATTATTATTTATTAATGAAGCAAGATTCTGATTCATTACTTTATGCTTCTTTAGGCCCATCATGCAACTAAAATGGAGACTTCTAGACTCTAGAGGACCTGTTCTTAGTTTCTAAATAACTTTAATTTTTTGGTAAACAAAGTTATTTTGTCTAGAATTAATGCTTAATGTTAAAATATACTGAAATTTATTTAAATAGCTGACATTTTGGTTACAAATTAAATTTTTTTTATCACATACTTAAGAGTCATGGTTAGTTACTAACCATTTTGTTTTAAAAAATTATTTAGATCCTGTATAAGTAATTAATTGATAAGTATTTGACCAAGCATTTATAAACAAAATGAATAAAAATTCTCCCATGAATTAAAATTAATCTATATACATTAAATTATATATATAAAAAATCTCTTTTTTAAGTTATCTAAAAAAATTGATTTTAAGAAAAACTTTCATTAATTCCTTTTTGAAAGCTAGGTAATATATCAATCCAATGAAGATTTATAGTAAAGTTAACTTTTTGTTTTCATCTACTTTCTTATTTTATTTTCTTATTATAAATATTATCCTAAAGTTTATACAAGCAAGATCATATTGAGTTTGTTGAACTGAGATTCATAACGTAGAAAACAAAAAGACTATTTCTCACAACTTTTTTTTGTTGACAGAATTTCTCACAACATTTAAAGAAACGAAAAAAAGCACAAAATTTGACGGAAACGAAAACGACCAAACCCGTTAACTGCACTGATTAAATAGTAGTTGCCTAGTTGAGGTCTTTAATGTTAATTTTGGCCCAATATAAATGTGGCATATATCAATATCAATAATGAGTACATTAGGGATAAATATGTATAAGGTATTGCATTATAACAAGTTTAAGATATAAAAAAAAAATGCATGAATACTGATTTTTAAGTACATAATATAATTTTAGTTAGCTGAAAGGCAAATTCACAACAACTTTGGTACTGCGATGATTTGTAAATCTTGGTTTGTATATATTAAGAATATTTCTAGGAGTTGGAAATTAATTTCATTTATATTGTTTAATAATAAATATATTATTAGTGTAAAATAGTTTTTATACAGTTAATTAATAAAAATATTATTGACATGAATTTTAAAATAATAATTATAAAAATTAACATATTTACAAAAATGACTTGTATAATTCGATAATTTTATGGTATGAGTGTGTTTGGTAATATGGTATTTGAGGAGTTTATAGATTTTTTTTTATCAATTTATAAACTTTTTTTTTGTCTAAATTAAATAA